AGGACAGACTGGTCGGAAGAAGGGGTAGCATTCTACAGGGGAAACCTCGACACTTGGCAACAGAGGATACAAGAGATCAACGGGTTGGAAGAGCTTACCCAGGTAGTGCGGGAGGCAACACTGAAAAGGGAGTGTGTACGTAGGGGGGACAAAGTGGGGAGGAACGACTGGTATGATGGCGAGTGCAAGAAGGCGAAGAGGGAGGCGAGAAGGAGGTTGAGGCTGTGGAGACGGGGGAAGATAGGGGTGGATAGATATAGGGAAGCCAGGAGAGAATACAGAGAGTTATGCAGTAGAAAGAAAACAGAATTGAGGGAAAAGGAGGCGGCAGAGATTAGGGGGATAACAAGGGAAGGGGAGGTCTGGAGGTATCTGAAAAAAGGAAAGAAGGGTAGGGAGACGATAACCAGCGAAATACACATGACAGAATGGAAGAGTTACTTTATGGGATTATTGGGAGGGGTTGAAACGAGGCTAACGGGGTTGGGAGGATATGAGGGAGATGGGGGAGAGGAGATAGCAGAAGAGGAGATGGAGGCGGTGCTTAGGAGATTGAAGAAGGGAAAGGCGCCAGGTGAAGATGGGATACATAACAAAGCATGGTTGGAAGCATCAAGGGTGGTGCGAGTGAAGTTGTTGGAGGGGATGAATATCGTATGGACAGGTGGGATTCCGGAGGGATGGAAAGTGGGGGTAATTTGCCCAGTATATAAAAAGGGTAATAAGGGAAGTGTGGAGAGCTACAGGGGAATTAACCTACTAGACTCGGCATACAAGGTATACACGAAGATGCTGCTGGGAAGATTGGAGGAGGAGATAGAGTTGGGGGGAATTTTGGCAGGCAAAAATTTAATATAAATTTTATCGTTAAAATTTTGAGAATTATCATTTTTGAAAATCTAAACAATTTTTGTTATAAAGACAATTTACATAATTCTCTCTCATTGAGTTACCGACAATTTTAAACAATAGCTTAATTTGATAATAAACGTAATGAAACACTTTAGCACTTCAAAAATAGGCCAGAAGCTTCAAGATTTTTCAACACGAAACACGTAAACACTCAAAAAATGAAAGCTTATGTACTCATTTACTATTTTTTGATTGTTATAAATTTCCAAAATAAGGTAAAATAATAAATTTTATCAAAATTTAATGTTATTCAAAATTATTTAGATTTTAGGACTTCCAGTTGGCGAAGAAGCGGAAATAACATGTGCTTTTGAATCAGGTATAGATAAAGACTTAAGTAATAACGTTTCATTTGCAATTCCTCAACCAATTCCAACCGAATACTACGCTTTTCTTCAATGTTTATACGATAAAAAAGATTTTATAATCGATAATAATCTCGACCATTATTATATGAGTGTAAATGCTCAAATTATGGGTCTTATGGATCAAGAACTTGCAGTAGTAATCAACGATTGTGTAACAACCTCAAAAGACGAAGAATCCGTCTCAAAAACGATCTATAATTTCGATTCTTGCGTAGGACGTGGAATTCTTCCTTATTTCGGTTATGGAACACCTTTGGACGAAATTGCGAGTAAATGCGCTAAAGAAGCCGATATAAACGAAGATGACGCAGTGCTTCCTTGCGTTTTAATGACGGAATCGCCGACAATTAGAATTTTAAAGTATTGGGAGTGTAAATATGAGAAGAGGGGATATTTTAATGAGGATGGCTCAATCAATTACGACCAGATTAAAAGCAGTTTATCAAAATTGTTTACTGAAAGAGGATTGGATTTGATTGTCGATACTTGTCATCAGGATTGGTCGATTTTAAGAAGCGAAAATGTTATACGGGTTGAAAAATGTATTGGAAGTAGAGTTATTAATATGGTGATGCATTCAAATGAGATTTTAGAAAATTTGTGTTACGAATAAAATGTTTAAAATTAAATAAATAAAGTTATTGTTTTAAAATTTTAATCATTTGGCAATTTATTTAATAAAAACGTCATCGTTGATAAAGAAACGCGACACACTCGCGTACTCAGATCGAGAATATTATCCATAAATAAAGAATAAAAGTTTGTGTTCACTGTTAACGGTGATATTAGTCATTTTTACAATGATAAAATTATTTACAGTCGTTTTTCTTATCGTGTCGATAACGACAGCGTTACAGGTAAGAAATAATAAGTATTTATATACTTAGATTTTAAGTAAACAAATCCGAATGAAAAGAACTCATCTTTAGGTCGTTGTACTCACGTTGGATTTCCCAGAATTCACTCTTAAAACTTTATGAAACGTGATTCAAATTAATAAAAATGTTTCCAAGTGATATTTAAATAATAAATATTGTTTTAGGAAAACGTAAACGAACAAATTATAGCGATAAAAAAATGTATTAATATCACTGGAATCGATGAAATTGAAGTGTATCAAATCGGCATTGAGCTACTTATTTCTGATGAAGATGAAATTACCAAGGATTTTATAATTTGCTTCAACAACGAATTGGGTTTTAGAAATAAAAACGGAGAAGTTGAATTTAATAAAATTCGAAAATTTTTAGATGGATTAACTCCCGACGAAAGAGACCTTGTTTTTAAAGCTTGCGAAGATGTTGAAGTAGAAACTGAAGATTTTGATAAATCTTATCTTGTAACGAAATGTATATTTAAGGAGATAAGAAAAATTCTTAATTTGTAGAAATATTTTTTATTCAAAATTAAATATTTACAAAAAAAATTGTATTTTTTAATCAAAAAACAAAACTTATAACTTTTCCTCTTACCTTTATTTTAAGAATAAACTTGCATTCTCCAAAGACCTCCACATCTAAATATTAAAAAAATATATATATATAATTTTAAATTAAATCAAAATTAAGGGTGTACATAGAAAAGTCGGTTTTTATTTTAATTACAACAAATATATGAATATGTTAGCGACGAATGCTTATTCTTATGATACTATCTGAAGAGTTTATGACAATTAAAGTGGGTAGTTTCGAACCGTGGTTACCACATTCATATATTAGAAGTTGTATGAAATATCTAATGTATTAAAATTGATCTTACTGGCACGAACGAGACCATCGTTGATCCCAAGCTCTAATAGCGGCGGTTCTTGTAACAGGAACAGTTCCAGCTGATCCTCCACATCTAACACATTGCTTAACAACTCTAGGACATCTTCCTAAATATAAATGTCTTATTGAATCAACCGTTTGACCTCCATACAAATCGTTGTTACTTGCTAAACAATCAGGTTCATTTTGAAATTCAAGCTAAATTAAAAAATAAATCAAATAATTAACTTAAAATCTTCCGCATTCGATTTTTATCTACTTGTAATGGAAGGATTTGTTGCGCTAATTGAGGTGAAGCCAAAACAACCCGATTACTTTGTTGTTGTAACGGTTGGATTTGGACTTGGCTTGGTAGAAGAAGACATTCATCTAAAAAGCAAGAAAATTATTATTATTTAAAAATAATTTGTTTGTTTCTTTGTACGTAAATGTGGTTTTCTTTATCAAAACGGGATGTTTAGATTTCCGGTTATAACACAGTTTTTTCGCTGAAACTAATTTCTTTTCTCAGTCACAATTAGCGTTTTATTAAAAATGACTATAAAGTGTGGTGGTGAGAAAAAAGACTCTAAGAAACGTTTTTACATCCCTCACGAGCTACGTTCCAGACCGTTACGATGTACAACTTTACCAATAATCTGTATGATTTTATTCATAATTTATTGGTTCATTCTCTGTCCTTTGGTGTTCGTCGGGATACAACGAAAATGCCGTGAAAAAAAATGTAATTACCTTAATTTATGGCCATGGTACTTTTGGATAACAGCATTACTAGTTTTTGTAATTATTTTATCGATTATATTATGCGTATGGTGTTGTAAATCAAAGAAAAAAAATCCAAATGAGAACCGAAACGAAAAGAATAACGAAGGTAAAAAAGAAAATCAAAAACTGCTCTATGAAACATACGATTATAACTCCTTGAAAAGAAAAGATACGGTTGAAATAGTAAACGAAAAAGTTTTACCCCCAAAAATTATAAAACAATTCGATCTGGATCAGCAAATTAAACATCCCAAATTAAAAGAACCAAAAAATAAAAAACAACTTTCAAAGGTAGATTTAAATGCACCGAAAGATCCAACAGTCGAAAAAATCGATTCAATGTTTCCAAGGTGTAGTGTAAGACGTAAAGATACCACCGATTTTAAAAAACGACCGGAAACTTTGGTGTTAAAAACCCCAACAACCAAGGAAGATGTACCACCACGACAATCGCTTCAAGATGAAATCAGACCGATTTCACCGTTAACACCTCGAGAAATATTTTTTTACGATCTTTTTAGAAGCGCCCATTTACAATCGATGGATAAAACGTGGAAATTTATCGAAAACGAAAGGAAACATTCGTCTAATAATTTCGATAACCCACATAAACCGGAAATCAAAGACTTTATTTTGAAGCAAAAAGGATCTACAAGCTCATCGACCCCCACTAGTCCACAATTTTTCATCGCCAACGTTGCATCTCATAATCAACCTTGTACTTCCGAAGCGTTTATGTATGTTGACGGTGGACAAAGCGAAAAGGAACTTACAATCTGTTATTTTGATACAGATGAAGAAATATTTACACCATGAATGTATTTAGATTTAAATGTTTTAATAAAGATATGTGTTATGAAAGCTTTTTGTTTTTTTTTTAACATAAAGGAACCTGATTTCTTGTGTTAGTTCTATAATATGGAAGTTCTAACATGCACCGAAAAACTAGAACTAACACTAGACCTAGAACTAGAAACATTCGGGTTTAGCCGTGCGTCTTCAGATACTTTCTAGTTTTAGGTCTAGTGTTAGTTCTAGTTTTAGTTCAATAAAAATATACAACATAGTGATATATTATACTAACTAGCGCTACTTATAACTGTCTCTAGAACTAACATTAGACCTAGAACTAGAAACATACGGGCTTAGTCGCACGTCTTTCAAGACTGCTAAACCCGAATTATTTTAGTTCTAGGTCTTGTGCTAATTCTAATGATAGTGCAAAACTAGAACTAACACTAGATCTACAACTAGAAACATTCGGATTTAACCGCACGTCTCTCAAGAGGGCTAAACCCGAATGATTCTAGTTCTAGGTCTTGTGTAAGTTTTAGTGATAGTGTAAAACTAGAACTAAGAGAACTAGAAAATATCATGAACATGAACTAACACTAGACCTAGAACTAGATACTTTCTAGGACTAGTGTTAGTTCAATAAAAATATGCAACATGATATCTTATGCTAACTACGCTACTTACCACTGTCTCTAGAACTAACATTTCAGGTTTAGCCGTTTTAAGAGACGCACGGCTAAACGGAATGTTTTTAGTTCTAGGCCTAGTGCTAGTGTTGTCTAGTTTTATTTTTATTCAGCGCTAGATACTTGTATATTTTTATTGAGCTATAATGGACACTGATAGACTTTTTTTTAGGACTGTATGTAGACTTTTTTAAGTTAAAAATATGATTGTTTTGTGTTCCCCTTGATTAATAATAACTTATATAGTTTTTATGTAAAATATGGAAATAATATGGACTTGTTACAAGTTTTGTTAAAAAAATTCATTGAATTACATTTTGGGAGCTGAAATATAATCATTTTCCGAGCTGTATGTACAGGGTGGGCAAATTTGGGTGTTATTATAGGCTATCTCAAAAACCATAAGAGATACGAAAAAAGTAGGTGCCATGTCCCGGTCTCTTTTTTCGAGACTAAGCCAATCCCGCAAACACCAAACCTCTATCTTCTTTTGTTTTTAAGTTATAGC